CTTTCTTTCTTTCTTTCTTTCTTTCTTTCTTTCTTTCTTTCTTTCTTTCTTTCTTTCTTTTTCTTCCTTTCTTCTTCTTTCTCCTTCCTTCCTTCCTTTTTCTTCTCTCTCACTCTCTTTCTCTCTTTCTTTTAAGTAGGCTTCATGCCCAGCGTGGAGCCCAATGTGGGGCTTGAACCCATGACCCTGAGATCAAGGCCTGAGCTGAGATCGAGTTGGACCCTTAACTGACTGAGCCACCCAAGCATCCCAGTTTTGCCTTTCCTAAACATGAGAAAACATAAGACATACAAAAAGCCCTGAGAAGAACAGTTTATGTACAGAATCTTAAGTATAAAAATTAAGAGGATTCCGTTCAATCCACCAACAGCGATTTACTTTGCACCTACTGGGTACCTGAGGCAGAGTCATAGATGCTGGGAAAGGTGACAGTGATGAGGTCAACCAGGGACCGGACCATGGAGCTCAATCTCAGTGAGGGTTCAGTGGACAGATACATAGGACTCCCTGGAAAGAGTCTGGGGCGGAAGATGATTCCTATTTGGGAAATTCTGCAAACGATCCCGATTATGACAGCTGCTATTTCCTAAGTCCCTGCTTTGTGCTGGGTGCTTTATATACATGCTTATTAATCCTTACAACATCAATCACTTCCAAGTAGGTGTTTTTATTTGCTAATGTGGACCCGGAGGCCCTGGGGGAGTTAAGTGACATGAGTCACGTCACACATGAAGGAACAGTGCATGGAGCCAAGCTCTGAATCCAGGACTACCTGCTCCAAAGCCCGGGCAAGGTATTTACACTAACGCTTCCTACTACCCTCCTTTCCTCTTTTTTCCAATAGTGAAGGAGAGGCGGAGATCATGAAAGGTAACCATGAGGCAGCACAAGAAACTTGCCAGAAAGTTCAAGGGTTTAAAAGATACGGATAAAGGCGGAGGAAGAACCAGCGGGCCACAATCAACGACACACTGTGGTGCCACAAAGAGTGCATCCTTAAGGGCAACTGGTAAGCGGGGAGTGAAGTCAGCGTGATGTGGGAGCCACGTTGCTTCATATGCAACCTCCGTGACTTTAATGTTGGATGTGATCAGAGGCAAGCTGGCTACAACTAAAGGGTACATTTCAGCAATAGACCTTCACAGACAGAAGATTCAACAGAAGTGCCTTCCTTGGATGCCGTTCTTGGTCGGTTTCCATTTACGCAAAGCCTTCTGGTGAGGCAGGAAGTACGAATGAAGGAGGTACAAAGAAATTTACCTCTCTATGAAGACAATGGATTAATGAAGAAGGCAGACCCAACATCAGATTTTTACTTCTGATGCAAATGGTCTCTTTTGGAAGTGAAGGCTCTTGGGAATCTACTTCTAAAAGGAGGAAGCACACCTCTCAGGAACAAAGGCTCATCCATTTTGTTGCACGTGTCGGAATTTCCTTCGTTTTAGGGCTGAATAATGGGACACAGGAAATTCTGACACGTGTTACAAAATGGATTCCACTTATAGGAGGTACCTAGAACAGTCAAGTTCATAGGGACAGGAAGTAGAATGGTGGTTGTCAGGAGCTGGGCAGAGGAGGGATGGGGAGTTGTTGTTTAGTGGGTACAAGAGTGTCAGTCTGGGAAGACGAGAAATTTCTGGAGATGGATGGTGGTGATGGTTGCACAACAATGTGAATATACTTAATATACACAATATTGTAAATGTTATGTATAATTTTACGATAGTTAAAAAAAAACCCTTTTCTTTATACAGCTTACATTCTGAGAAGGGAAAGATGGACAATAAACTAAGTAAGTTAAAGATATACTGTATTAGATGATGATTGGTGTTATGTACAAAAAAAGAGCAGGAAGGGGGTTGGGGCATGGCCTGTGGATAGGGGTAGACGGAGAGTCTTCCTGATGAAGTGACTGGAGTAAAGACCTATGGAAGGCGAGGAAGGCAGCCAGGCAGAGATCTGGGCAGAGGGAACAGCAAGTGTGAGGTGAGGGTATCCACAATATTGGAAAGCACTGGGGCTGTAGAACGCTTGGCATGCGTTAAGGCATGGCATGGAGGTCATGGTGGAGGGGAGAGTGCCAGCAAGAGGAGATGGAATTAAAGGGGCTGTATATTTTGGCTTTTTCAGTGACTGAAATGAGAACCTTTTAGAGGTTTTTGAGCAGGGACTGGATTTATATCTCAAAGCAGTGCTTTTCAGCCTCTGTGGTGCATAAGAATCTCCTGAGGATCTTGGTAAAATGCAGATTCTGATTTGGTGGGTCTGGGGACGGCAGGGGGGTGGGGTGGGGCTGAAATTCCTAAGACCACACTTCTTCTTCTTCTTTCCTTTTCCTTCTCCTTCTCCTTCTTCTTTTTAAATGTTTATTCGTTTTTGAGAGAGAGCGCTCAAGGGGAGGGGCAGAGAGAGAGAGGGAGACAGTGGATCTGAAGCGGGTTCTGCACTGACAACAGAGAGCCTGACTCCTGGGGGCTCGAATTCATGACATGAACTGAGCTCAGGAACACGATTACATGACCTGAGCCAAAGTCTGTCGCTTAACCAACCGAGCCAGCCAGGCGTCCCCAAAGACCACACTTTTGAAACGATGAGACCACCATGTTGTGAAGAAGCCCCATGTAGCCCACAGGAGGATGAGAGGCTCCACGTGGGGAAAC